CGACGTCGGTGAATAGCTTGGCGACGTTGGCGAGTAGCTCGGTGATGTAGGCGAGTAACTGGGTGACGTCGGCGAGTAGTTTGGACTCGTGGGCGAGTAGGTGGGACTCGTTGGTGAATAGTTGGGACTCGACGGTGTCATGCTAGGTGACGTTGGCAAATAGGCTGGAGATGTCGGCGAGTAACTGGGCGACGCTCCACCTGCTGGTGACATTGGATACGGACTCATGCTGGGCCCTGGGCTCCCTGGACTACCAGGTTGCGGCGAGTACGCGGAGTACGCTGGTGAAAGTCCTGAGGCGTCTGACGCTCCTGACGGTGAGAAGCATGCACCTCCTGGTGTCATGCCACTGCCCAGAGCTGATACAAAAATTGCGTTTATTATAAATAGATTGAATACATTAAAGGATTTAAATGTCAGTAAAATGTTCAGAACTATTCATACCAGGTGACATGCTTGATGCACCGTAACCAGGAGTCGCACCCATCCAAGGTGTCATTTGGGGGCTCATGCTTGGTGTTGCGACGCTGCCGAAGAACATTCCAGCAGTTCCCATTACACCAGCTCCTACTGCCATCGGTATTTCAATACCAGCTTTACATTTCTCTGCGTCCAATAGTAAATCAAAGCATCCTGAAAAGATATGATGATCAGACACGTTAGTTCAGGACAAGAAATTGACAGAATCAAGCACTGTAAATAATAGTACCTGTTCCTATACGTGGAAGTTGTCCCATTATAATATTCTCGGATACTCCTCTCATAGGGTCCACTTCCGCATGGGATGCTGCATCTAATAAAACGTCCACGGTTTCCTCGAAGGAACATCTTGAAAGGAAAATGAACTCTTGTAGTATTTCAATATTTATAGCTTAGGTATAGTGTGTCAGATTTCTTCATAATTTACCTCATCAGAGCACCGGTATCCTGCCTGTTAATTCCGTGACGAGTGATAGCCATCAAATGACCTTTGGCGGTCATGACGTCACAAAGCAACGCAAGGTGACGATAGTTCACGTAAAGACCGTAGAATTGCAGTACAGCGTTCATTTCCTTCTCGACTGACTTTCGCACAGCCTCTATACCCAACACTTGGAATATCTCGCAAATGTCGTTACTGAACGTCCTAATCGGATCCACGTCTCTTTCGCTCAATACTTTCATTAAACTTGTCCCGTCAGTTTCCAGCAGCCACTCCGCAATCGCCTTAAATTCACCAGTTTCTGTGATGACTATACGTTTCTTGGAATCAGTCTGTGGTAAATGCATGTACACTTTTCCTATGGCTTCAATACCCTGGAAAAATATGTAAAATATCATGGATTAGATCTGTGGTCTCAATGATTCGTCGTTCATTTTTTAAAATTTAATCAGACATACCTGCAAAGTCATGTCGCTGAGCATATTCGCCTCGATGCACCGGAGGAACATGTCGTCCTCCATTTTGTCTACAGTCTCCTCCTCCGTGTCTCCTGTGAATTTGTCGTCGCTGTTCATTATCCTAATTCGCAAGACCAATTTCTCAGCGTTGTCGTCGTTGAATATGCAATTCAAATCATCGCCGAAACCGGCGTTGATCTTCTCCGCGATCTGTTCCATGGTCAACTTCTTATCGGTCATCCTCTTGCGATCCAACTCGATACGAAGAAGCCACGGTGAGATTTTAGTCGGGTCGAAATCAGGCATCTCGTAGTAGACGTTCACGAATTCTTGATCCTCCGCGATCACGGTGTTCTGTGGATCTGGATCGTAGTAGATCGCTGTGTTCGCTGTGACCTTCCTCAGCGTGGTGTGCTCCAGGCGACAGAGGACGTTCTTCGCCTTCTCGGCGTCCCTTGCCGCAGCTCCAATTAGGAACACAGTCAGCGAGGGAGCCTTCGGTTTCTTACTGATGTTGATGATTTCCTTCAGCCTGGGTACACCAAGGGTTACGTTCTTCGACGAGACACCAGCAAAGTGGAAAGTGTTCAACGTCATCTGAGTGGCTGGCTCACCGAGTGACTGGGCAGCTAGAGCACCTACCATCTCACCAGGTGATACCTAAAGTATAAAGATATATTAAAATTTATAGATTCAATTAATATCTAAAGATATATTCATGTTACAATACACCTATACACAATTAATGCCATACATACCTGTGCTTGCTGGAATCTTGTTTCAATTTCTCCAATAAGCCACTCGAAGGCTTCGCCAGACAACCTAAACTCTTCTGAAACACATTTTGTACACAGCGTTGACCTCACTAAACACTGGAACAGCAAAGTAGCGTTTTCATTCGCCTGTTTGCTGAGTCTATCATCACCAGCCACAATGATACATTTCTCCAGGAGATCCTTCACACCTGTAAATCAACATTTGCATTGATTATTCTGATATGTTAGCTGTTTATGTTTCTAAAATCATTTACTATTTACCTTGTATAACTCTCATAGGACTGAGGTCAGTAGGTGCTCGTTTGTTTATGTGGAAAATCTTTTGTACATTCCAAATCATTCTCTGCAAATTGCAGGGCAATACCACCTTCGATTCACCGCTACGGAAAATCTCTCTGAGCACCGCACGATCCTTGTTCAATTGTTCCCATTCCCTTTCCAATTCAGAGATCACTTCGCCAGATCCCATCATCTCTCTGACAATGTCTTCGTTGAATATACGACGCAGATAACGTTCGTTGGTTGGATCGAATTTGAACTTCTTCTCGAATGCTTTATTGCTCAGTTTAATGGTAGGCAAGTTTTGGAACTCCACGGTCTCGCCGCAGAGACCGTCTTCACCGTATCGTAACTGGATCAATTGTCCTACAGAGTTTCTTACTGTCCCGTCGTAGTGCACCATTACAGACTCCATAGCCTTTATCAAACGACGCTGGATGTAACCGGTTTCTGCGGTTTTCACAGCGGTATCGATAAGACCTTCACGACCTCCCATAGCGTGGAAATAAAATTCGGATGGAGTCAGACCAGCAAGATAAGAGTTCTCAACGAATCCTCTGGACTCAGGACCGTAATCGTCTTTGATGAAATGTGGCAACGTCCTCTTCCGGAAGCCAAACGGAATTCGCTTACCTTCAACGTTTTGTTGACCCACGCAAGCAATAACCTGGGAGATATTAATGTTGGACCCCTTTGAACCTGACACCACCATAGCCTTTAGATTGTTGTACTCGGTTAAAGATTTCTTAGCAGAACCTCCAGTCTTGTCACGAGCATCGTTCAAGATTCTGTTCACTTGATTCTCGAAAGTCTGCCTCAAGGTGTTACCAGGAGATGGTTCCAGCTCCATGTTGTGAGCTTTTTGGATAACCTCTATTACATCCTCTTTGGCTTTCTTAATCGCTTTCTGAATTTCTAAGTAGGTCTGAGGATCAGCAATAGTATCTCCGATACCAATAGAGTGACCTTCCAGTAACAGCCAATTGTTGATTACGGTTTGAATGTTTCCATAAAACCGTCCACAGACTTCGTGGCCCAGCTCCAACATACAAATATGAAGCAGAGATCCAGCGGATGTACCCAAAGTCTTCTTACATAAAATGCCCATGACAAGTTCTCCGTGTTCTACCATGACCTTCGTGTCACCGGGGGAGATCCATTTATATGGACCATCATCTTCTTCGTCTGGATGTGTACTGTGGGTTCTGATCATGTTCACGTTACCTGGTATGATCAAAGAGAAGATCTGTTTACCAGTCCACAAAGGTTTCGGTTTCAATATACAGGGCTGTGGCATCTTGCCGTCCCAACTGGGCAAGAACATAAGAATGTTCATCATTTGTTCCTTTTCTATGAAGACGTCCCTTTTCGTCATTTTTCTTACAGCTGTAAGCGTATCCTGTACAATACCCATTACTGGTTTGTTCGCCTGAGGGGTAATAATTTGTCGAGGAGTCACGTGAATGTTTTCTACTTCTGCACGTGTTTCCATTGACTGTGGCACGTGCAGGTTCATCTCGTCGCCGTCGAAATCGGCGTTGTACGGTGACGTACAACTAAGATTCATACGAAACGTACTCCAAGGCAGAACTTTCACTCTGTGTCCCATCATACTCATTTTATGCAACGTTGGCTGACGATTGAAGATCACTAAATCGCCGTCGCGAATGTGACGTTCTACTCTGTAGCCACATTGCAGATGCAAGTCGGATGGTTTCGGATGAAATCGTAAGTCTATCCTTTCACCATTATCTCTGACAATATACTTTGCACCTGGATACTGCGAGTTTCCACGTCTGACGAGTTCTTGCATTTTGTCGATATTGAAAGGCGTTACGATCTCTGGAAAGGTCAAATTCTGGGCAATACTACGAGGAACGCCTACTTGATCGATTCGTAAGTTAGGGTCTGGCGTGATGACGGTACGAGCTGAAAAGTCAACACGTTTTCCCATCAAATTTCCTCTGATTCTGCCTTCTTTCCCCTTCAATCTTGATTTTATAGCTTTTAACGGTTTTCCTGATTTCTGCATCGCCCTTGGCATTCCAGGCATATCGTTGTCAACCAGTGTTGCTACGTGAAATTGCAACATTTTTATGTTTTCAGATATTACATGTGCAGCTGCTCCAGCCTGTTCATTTCTAATTAATTCATTGTTAGCTTTTATGATATCCGCCAATTTATGTGTTAAATCATCCTGATTCTTTGCTGAACCGTACATAATAACTGCTGGTCTCACTGACAAAGGTGGGACTGGTAAAACTGTTACCACCATCCAATCCGGTCTAGCAAATTTTGGATCCATACCAAGAATAAATGATTCCTCATCTGTAATGTGTTTTAATATCTCCCATGCTCTTTCTGCTGTTAGTGCAATTTTCTTTTCTTGGGAATCTTCATTTACGTGTTTCCATTCTGCTGTAACATCCAAACCTGACCTCCTCAGGTTTGGCTGATATCTACCACAACCACCATGGCCTGGTTTTCTTTCTGCAGTTTGTTGTTCTTGATTTTCTTTGTTAATGTCCATTTCGTCACCACCTTCACAAATGTTCTTACTTTTACATAAATCATAGACAAATGTGAGCCGTTTACGTGGTTGACCCTTAGTTTTCATGACAATCTCTTTGATTTTTGGATTGTGCTATAATGAACAACATAGTATTACAGAAAGGAGAGAATTGAAGATTAAAAGACACATTTACAAATAATACTTACTGGACTGACAAGCAATTTTGAACAATAAAAGCACACACATCTCAATATTTTTATTGTTTTCGTTATAAAACCAACATGAAAGACTGGTTTAGCCAAATCAATGTGACCAAAATGTCCTGGACATTCTGTCATGTTACCAGCACATGTCTGACACCGAGAATTTCTATCAATAACACCTTGTCTCGGGTCCATAAGTCCACCAAGCTTCGGACGACCGCCTTCCATAGTTTCAGGAAAGCGAATGCCGCCATCTGTGACTGACATCCGACGCTACACAAAATATACACAATTACATGAAGTTCCTAACATTAATAATAAAGCTAATAATACATAAAATCATATGCACAAACTGATAACTTATATCTCACATCATATTGCCATTTTTCAGTATTAATCAATTTACAATAGAAAACACATATTCCACAAGAAACAGAAAGAAATACAACAACTATCTATGCATTATTGCAGATCAGTAACATTTTATTTTATTTGAAAATCATCTGTGAAATATACACAAACGTAAATTCAGTACTTTCACATTTCTCGAATATTAACTAAAAATTTTCACACAAGTCATGAAACGAAAGAAGCAACGATGTATTGCACACGTTCACATTAATTAAACAGCAGAGTAATAAACAATTCATATTGTACGCGATTTATCGTTTTTAATGATATTTTTCCATGAATATCAACCGATACAGATAAGAAGTGCTCATCGAAGATCAACACGAGCGTCTGTTTGTAATATCCTGCGTTCTCGCACGATAAAGTTCCATAAAATGTCGACTCATGACGAAATAGTTCCACATGCCGCGATAAAAATTATATTACGCTTGTTCGCCCGTTTAGAATTAACGAACTTACTATTTCATCGGGAGAAAGAATACCAAATTGGACCCTCTTTACGGTTCTCAAAGGCGCTTTGGAGTCGGACGTAGCCATTTTGTAACGAGCACGCACAGGTTCTCCCGCGGCCTTCTGCGTCGCGACTACCACTAACTGTTCTTTCCCGTTGCAAGTATCTCCCTCTCTTGGCAATTCCGTTATTACTCATTCAATCAACTTGTTCACGTGTTCCTAAACGCATCGAAAATCATGCATGAGTCACGCTTCATTCTTTAATAACGGTAAGATTAGATAAAAGAAAATAAGTTCCATTTTTTATTTATTATTAAAAATATTTTAGAACGGAATTAATGCACGATATTAATGATAGTAACTTTCCCCTAGATTCAAGAAAAGTTCAAACCTGTACAATGGTTTTCATGAGAACATGAGTTTCTCGTAACCATATTAGTGGAAAATGTTCTGATGCGATACATTGAAGTAGATGACAGTAGTGGTTTACTTTCTGTGTTTGCCAGCTATCCATTGAATAATAAACATTAATGTCCGCTCGTATTGTGTAATGAATCATTTTAATTGTAACATTTATTAAAACGATATAAATCTTTTTATTGTGACTCGCCTTGTAAGCGTGAAATCTCTGTAACATAAAGTAGTTAAAAATGGCCACATCGAAAACTACGAACACGTATAATAGACAGAATTGGGAAGATGCTGTAAGTACTGTTAAACCTGTAGAACGATCGTGAACTTGTCAAAACATGATTTAGTTAACATGTCGTGTATCATTTTAGGAATTTCCAATATTATGTCAGACTTGCTTAGGTGATAATCCATATATACGCATGGTGAGTATATTTTAATGAATTATATAATTATTACTATTCTTAGGCAATGTCAACAAACATTCTATTTCCATTACAGACAAAAGAAAGATATGGAAAAGAATGCAAAATATGCATGCGTCCGTTCACAGTATTCAGATGGTGTCCTGGTGCAAGGATGCGTTTTAAGAAAACTGAAGTGTGTCAGACATGCAGTCGCTTGAAAAATGTTTGCCAGACATGTCTGCTTGATTTAGAATATGGTTTACCCATTCAAGTGCGCGACGCAGCGCTTAAAATCAAAGATGATCTCCCTAGATCAGATGTAAACAAAGAATATTATGTACAAAACATAGATAGTGAAATTAGTAAAATAGATCCAACATCACCAGCAGGAGCTGTTGGTAAATCAGCAGCTGCCAGTGATTTGCTAATGAAATTAGCAAGAACAAGTCCTTATTATAAAAGGAATAGACCACACATCTGTTCATTCTGGGTTAAAGGAGAATGTAAGAGAGGTGAAGAATGTCCATACCGTCATGAGAAGCCTACAGATCCTGATGATCCATTGGCTGATCAGAACATCAAAGATCGATATTATGGTGTAAATGATCCTGTTGCTGACAAACTAATGCGTAGAGCTGCAGCAATGCCTAAGTTGGATCCACCAGAAGACAAATCTATCACGACTTTATATATTGGCAATTTGGGAGATGTTCTAACAGAGAAACAGTTACGTGATCATTTTTATCAGTATGGAGAAATACGATCAGTAACAATGGTTCCTCGTCAACAGTGTGCTTTTATTCAGTACACGCAAAGAAGTGCTGCTGAAGCAGCAGCAGAAAGAACATTCAACAAATTGATACTGGGAGGAAGAAGATTAACAATTAAATGGGGACGGTCTCAAGGAAGGCAAACTGTATCAGCAGCAGAGGCAACCAGGGAAATTCTGGAGCCTGTACCAGGTTTACCTGGTGCTTTACCACCACCTCCAGAAAGCATGGGAAACAATTTCTTCAATCTACAAACTACTCCTGGCATGATACCACCAATGATGATACCTCCACCACCAGTTGCCCCACAATTCATGTTTCCACCTCAAATGACAGCTGCTGCTGCAACACCAATCTTCCCTCCAGGAACAACTCCTATACATTATCCGAGTCAAGATCCATCAAGAATGGGTGCATCGCAAGGCATAGGAAAGCCCTGGCCCGAAGAATAACAGTAACAGTGTTTAACTTTTTAATGATTATAATTATACCAGAGAAAGCCTGTAAAAAAATAAATACATGTCCATCTTTCTTTTATGCTATGCATTTTCAATAAGTTGTAATTGCCCGATTTAATCATATCTAGATTTATTACTGATAAAGAAACATATTAGTCTTAAATTACTTTTTAAGAATCGAAAAAAATTGTATCAATATTATACAATTACATGTCAAAAGGGATATTTTAACGATTCTTAAAATCCAATTTTAAAGTAAATATTTCTTTTTTGCTTTTCTAACCACGTGAGTGATATACTTGAATACAATTGGTTACTGTGCATGTACGGTATTTTCAGTATTGGCAGAAGTGGTAATGCGATACGATCTTATGGTACACCATGAGGTTTTCTAATCTAAATATTTCAACGTCGATGCTCTATTCCATGGCAGTGAAAACATCGCTAATTTCGATATAGGCTTTAAGTACGAATACGACGGGAGCGCTATCTGATATCAAAGTAGGGGAACGTCCTTAAGAGCTAGCGCGTATTAGCGGTTACTGTGAGTGTCATCGTTGCATTTTAATACGTGTCCACTGATGTCTGTCCGTCCGGTGTTTCTGCTACGTTAATCACATTCTGAGAATATATGGAATGTCTTTATTATCAAATATCGTTGAATTTCTATCTGTAGTAGCATAAGGCGCCTAGCGCGCCTTCCCGTCACGATGAACATGTGTCGGGTTCGATTGTTATTCCACTTTGTGGCGCTTAGCCTACTCCCCTTTGCCCGTTCCGACGAGCACAGTCACGTCGTAAGTATTTTAAATTGACATATTTTCGAAATGTCAAAGCTGTAAGACCGTCACGTACATATAATTAACATATTTACGATGTACAACTTACACTTCTTATCGCTGGAATTCATTCTTTCCTTATCTGTGTAGAAAAGTCAATATGTAATCACGATTTTGTATGCCCGATGTGCACCATTTTTGAAAGAAAACAGTGTTAAATTTTATATCGATTTCGAACATTAATCGTAACAATATATTTTTCAGTAAAAGAATTTTGTCACGCGTTACTTTGATATTATATTCTACGATGATTTTATATTCCTGTTACGTTTCATCGTATTAACACAGCTATTTATATTCTTAGTACGAAGATAATGACGAAGTAGTACTATGGATGAGTACAGTTGGACCATATCATAACCGTCAAGAAACTTATTCATACTATTCGCTACCATTTTGTATGGGCACAAAAAATGTCATTAATCATTACCATGAAACATTTTCTGAGGCACTACAAGGCATTGAACTTAGATTTAGTGGCCTTGAGATCGAATTCAAGGGTAATTCATAATTTTACCTATTGCTGTTAAACAGTATTATACGTTTATGTAGATTATGGAAGTTTCTATTCGGCATATTTACAGCTGATGTTGCGAAAATGGAGTATTGTCAGATAAGATTGACCGAAGAGAAGGAGAAAGCTTTCATATATGCAGTCAAGAATCAATATTGGTACAAGATGTATATGGATGACTTACCAATTTGGGGTAATGCATAATATTCTTTTCATTTATGAGTATTCTTTTGCCATTATACTGATTGATTTTTATATCACATGAATTAGGGGTTGTCGGAGATCCAGAAGAAAGTAATGGAGGTATATCTTATTATATTTGGACGCATAAAAAGTTTGATATAGGTTACAATGGAAAGCAAATAGTTGACGTAAATTTAACAAGTGAAAACAAAGTGAAGCTAGAACCAGATGCACCTATCTCTTTCAGTTATGAAGTTAATTGGAAGAAGAGTAATATTAAATTCGAAGACAGATTTGATAAATACTTGGATCCCAATTTCTTCCAACACAGAGTAAGAGCTGTGAATGAAACATTTTAGAAAAAAAAATGTCCAATTTGATATTCAAATGTTTCTGTTCCTTTTAGATTCACTGGTTCAGTATCTTCAATAGTTTTATGATGGTGATCTTCCTTGTTGGGCTTGTCTCAATGATTTTAATGCGTACTTTAAGGAAAGATTATGCTAGATATAGTAGGGATGAAGAAATGGACGATATGGAAAGAGATTTAGGAGATGAGTACGGTTGGAAGCAAGTTCATGGGGATGTCTTTAGACCAGCTAGTCATGCAATGCTTTTCTCTGCTTTAATAGGCGCAGGCTATCAGGTAATTACTTTAACAGTTAAATGTTTCCAATTTAACAAGCACTCAAAGTCACATGCTATATTTGGTTTCAGGTCACAGTTGTTGTACTTAGCGTTATCATTTTTGCTATTCTTGGAGAGCTGTACACTGAAAGAGGTTCAATGCTATCTACAGCAATTTTTGTATACGCTGCTACATCACCTATAAACGGGTATGCCGGAGGAGGCTTGTATGCTCGTATGGGAGGTCGAATTTGGATCAAACAAATGATTCTCAGTGCCTTTATGTTGCCTCTTATCGTTTGTGGCACTGCATTCTTCATCAATTTCATTGCCATGTATTACCATGCTAGCCGTGCAATACCTTTCGGTTCTATGGTGAGTATTACTGTATTTATATTTATTTCTGATGCCAGTGAAATTTATTTATATTATATCTCTATTTTATTTACTTCATTCAGGTGGCAGTTACATGCATTTGCATATTTGTTATATTACCCTTGACATTGGTTGGAACTATCTTAGGCCGCAATCTAGCTGGAACACCGGACGCACCATGTAGAGTGAACGCAGTACCCCGACCTATCCCCGAGAAAAAGTGGTTTATGGAACCGCTGATTATTATAATGCTCGGGGGTATTTTGCCTTTTGGATCGATATTCATTGAAATGTATGTTTCATCATTTACATTTTGAATAATTTCCAAAGTAATTCAACTTAAATATGTATTCTTTCAGGTACTTTATTTTTACCTCATTCTGGGCATATAAAATCTATTATGTCTATGGTTTTATGTTACTAGTATTCGTTATTCTAATGATAGTAACCGTCTGTGTTACTATCGTATGTACATATTTCTTGCTGAACGCTGAAGACTATCGATGGTAAGAATTGCTTGATAATTAATAGAATCATGAAATCGTTATAGATAATTTTTTCAACGCATGCTCATTGACCCTCTCCTTACAGGCAGTGGACAAGTTTCTTAGCTGCAGCTTCAACGGCTGGATATGTCTACATATACTCCTTCTATTATTTCTTCTTCAAGACTAAGTATGCTTCTATCATACATAAGCAATTTCGAATTGAAAGAAAAGGTACGTTTATTGAAAAATATAATTACACCGTGCTCTTTGTTCCAGAATGTACGGTCTCTTTCAGACAGCATTTTACTTTGGTTATATGGCGTTATTCAGCCTCGCCTTAGGTATAATGTGTGGAACAGTTGGTTACGTCGGTACTAACGCATTTGTACGAAAGATTTACTCCACAGTGAAGATAGACTAAAACACAATTCTAGTGTAACATCTATGCGTGGAATTAAACAAAATGAGAGAGCGTACAGAGTGATGCCTGCTGCTCTTCACGAAGTAGGACTCTTCTTCCTTCGATATTTTTAATCGTTTGCTTATTTAATAATAACGCGCAAATACAACTTCACAAAGAGAAAAGAAACTTGTCGATGAGTAACAACGTTACATTAACATTAACAAAAGCGAGTAAGAGACATTTCCGTTTACACGCGTGACGGATCATCGAGTATTTTATGAAGCATCGCGACGATGTCTTCGTTTTATTTTATTCGTTGATCGTACAATTAACAACATTCGAAGTCGAGTCCTGCAATGGCTTGCGCGCCATCTTGGAAAATGAACTGTTCAATTATTCAGTCACGCATATTATTCGTCCTATGAGTCACAGTTTCGTATTCTATAAAACACAGGTTCCAATCGTGCAATTTTAGAATCGCTATTTTATGTAAAACAATATTTATCTATGTAATATTGCTCAACGCTTCTGGAGATCACTGGAAAATTAACGATGTTCGTGCGCACGAATTCGTGATATCGATGAATATTAACATTCCAAGGCGCCAGCGAGTGTCAACGATTCATTGCAGTTTTGGAAGCGAAAGAAAAGGGGAAAAAAATCGAATAAACTCGGACGTATGTATTTTGGAAGGAGAAACAAAAAAAAACATGCAGAATTGAAGGAGGAAGATCATTCAGGTCGCGGATAACATTTGATTTTGTTTCGGTTAGGACAGTGCCTCAGTTGTGTGACTCTAGACAGGTGATTTTTAGTCATACGAAGAACTACATTCGATCACCGACGATTTAAGTAAAGTTAATTTAATAGATAAGCTAGGTGTTAGATCGTGATGTAAGAACGTGAACATAAGGGAATTTTTTTACCATTGGCTTCGTACTATATAACCACGATACGTTCTCGTCGAGTGGGATTACTTTTGTTACGAATTGTGAGTGCATTGGTAAAAAAAGGAAAAGAAAAGAAAAGAAAAAAAAGCGATAGGTTAGGACGATTCTTTCGATCGCGATCCTCCGATTCGTGCGGATTGAATTATTTAAGTACGCAATTAATTGTCGCTAACAAGGATTACTGATAAGAGGGGGATTGGGACTTCAGAATCACGGTGGATGTGTGCTTGCCCTAAAACGGTACCGTCGAGTCGCGAATATCAGTGAGGACATTCGAATGAATATACAGTTTGTTGTTAGTCGTAGCACTTCTAAGAAATATAAAATTTCTACATACAACGATCCTGACCTGTTTTACCGACCCACCAACCCCCGACGTTGCAATGGTTTCTCGATTTCGTTGGACCGTTCTGACGCGAATGATTTCTTAATGAAACAATTCGTAATTATAAAATAAAAACTAGGAAATCGTGTAAGGAGAATTGTTTGTACGCTCGAAGTAACGACGTTCCGAGACGTTAATGTAAAGTTGCATCTGGACTATTCAATGCGTACACCTGGTGTTTTCATAAGAAGTAATAAAAGAGTGTAACGTTCTATTAACGAGTTCTGTCGTTTATTCAACACTTCGGGGCCACAATGGGATGACTAATTGGTGGTTTTTGTTGTTTTAATCGATTACGAAACGATCCATAAATTACCTGTTATATTACGTTTGTTTTAACAGTTATATCATTTTAAATGTAATTTCATATATTTCTTTTTATTATATGAATTATTTAATTACAACCGCCTATTCAATGAAACAGCTTGTACGATCCACACGTTTTTGGAAAGTACGACATTGTTCGACATTATTCTAGATGAGTCTGTTGTGGGTTATGAAATGTATCTTCAAGAATATATAGAAACGATTAATTAAATTGTTTATAAATTATTTAGAATTACTAGACGGTGATGTAAGGTGAATGTTGTTGTCTGGTGTAATTGTATAAGAAAATTCCGTAGTTGTTTTGACTCGAATGGTGCCAGTGTGGCACCCAACGCTGCTCCGTCGTAAAGTCAAAGCGCACACGTCGACGCAGTCGAGAGACGAGCGTGTAACGAACGTACACACCTGTTCTCTATTCTGGAAAGTTGTGCATATTGGAGTGCACGTACTACGGTGACAGTAACATCGTTTCGATCGTCGATCACTTTCCGTTCTTTTCAATTCAAACCGTTTTGACGGAGACGAAGCGGCAGAAATGGCACCGAAACAGAGGATGCGTATCGCTAACGAGAGAGCGACGAAAAATATCATGCTTCGTGGAAACGTTCCCAAATCGACGGTAAGTTATTTACCTTACAGTTTAACCGAATTCATCAGATAAACTCTTCGAATTAACGGGAATAACGAGAAGATCGTGAATCGTACGGGAACAAGCGATTGTCAGTTTATAATTTTAAGGTTATCAGCTTTAATACTCGAAATGCATCCTGCTACGTGCAGTGGCGTTTTTGACAGTTTTGTTGTATTATATTTCTCAAGTTTTCACGTTCTGCTCAATTTTCGATTATAAATTAACGAGTAATAAGTATTCGAAAATATTTCTTCAATGAAGATGGTAAATAAAATGGTATTTTTCGAGAACGTTTGTACCATATGTAATGTAAACATATGTAACAGTTTTCAAATGTTGCATTGTTGACGGTTTTATGTATATTTCATTTAAATGGAGAAAGTATGTGCTGATATATTTTATTTTGATAGTGTATCATTTCATAATGGTATTATAAATTTATGATTGCCAGAAACCACAAGAGGATGGATCTCCTGTTGGACCCTGTTTGCTAGCACTTTTCTTATTCGTTGTATGTGGCTCCGGTAAGTTCTATTCTAATAGTTATTTACTTCTTTTTTTAATTTACGTGAAACTAATGTTATTTTATTTTTCAGCTGTATTCCAAATAATTCAGAGTATTAGAATGGCTTAAAAAAAATCTTACCGACAGAAAATTAAACAGATGTTGCTGTTATTGTTAATATGAAAAACTGTCTACAACTGATTGGTACACAAACGAGATTGACAGACTGTTTTACCGTATATTGTAAACATGTAGGCATCAAAATGCTGTTAACACAAAACTAAAACCAGAGTTTCACTGAACAACTTTTCTGCATTTGCTACAACATAAAAGTTTATTTATAAAAATTTAGCATTTATAATCTTACTTAATTGCATTATGTATCGATTGTATCGATGAAAGAAAACTGCATTTAATGCGTTTTGTTTAGATATTTTCAGTTAAATATATATATATAACACACTGAACAGAATATTTTATTAATTTTTACTTTGTTATCTCATATACAGCAATTATTATGTATATTTTCATAAGAAATGTGAATTCTTCCATCGATACGCGCATAGTAAATAATTGTATATATACACAATCGATTAATTGTATCAATTCATTAATCAAAGCATTCCACTGTGAGCAGTTGGTAGCTTTTGGTTGTCTATATATTTTAGAGGCCTTAAGAACATAATAGGTCATTATACTTGTAAAAATATATTATATATATATATATATATAATATCAACGTAATTTATCCTAATGAAATATTTGCTACTGACAATTCTTTGTCTCTTTTAATAAATTATATTATGAACAAATTAACCCTCTCATTGATAATCCTTTTTTAATAATTAAAAATTTATCTGTTCGTTATACCATTACATAAATTTCATATGAGTTAAAAAAATGAAAATTTATAATTGCAAGGAACCATTTATTGAAGATTCCTTTTAGGCAATTTGTACCTAGATATTCTAGTACTTTTATGGATCAGTGTTGCCAATAAATTTTTTATAGTTGGAGCAATTCAAATTAAACGGAAAAGTTGTGATGAGATGAAAGGGAGCACAGTGGTTTGTTTTTCGAAGGAAAACGTTTCGCTGTTATAAAATTCTTTTATATTGCACGTAAAATATTTATTGTATACGATTAAACCACAGTTGTGGATGACTTGAAGAAAATGGCTGGTATATTCAATTTATTTGGCAGTACATCGGATCTCAACAGAGGTATAAATACATGTTTAAAAAAATTGTATCTTTTTTGGTATTTTTAATATTTTTCTTCTAAATATTATTTGTAAAGGAAATTTACAAATAGTTGTAACAAATGTTAAATAATAATTAGACATTCTAAAAATTTGTTACAGTTACTAGTGTTTATATACTTCGTAAATTTTTTTTATGCAAAATTGTTTTTAAAATTAAACAAAATCTTTATTGCAGGTCGGGTTGTAAAGCCATTGTCAAGATCAAAAACAACTCTTGGAATTACTGGACCTTCTACAAAATCTCTTAATCAACCAAAACCAAAAGGATTGTCTATTAGAACTAATTCTGATGTAAATGTGTCTACTACATCAAATTTGAATCAGGATGCATTTAATAAAGATCAAGATTATTTGAAGCCAAAATTAACACAGTTAGACAATAACGAACGTCCCATATCACCACGCAAAGAGTTGCTGAAGGTATGTAATTAATGATATTTTATAGATCGATGTGAAATATAATTTACTTACAGGCACAAAGCATTCAATTTGATAAAATAAATACTTCATCTCCAAAGAAAATATTAGACAAACAACATATAAAAGTACAAAAAGCATTTGAAGTACAAGTTCGATGTGAAGAAGTTGCTTTTAAGAAACCATTCACACCAAAGAAACCGATGGAGTTGTATCCTGAACCAGAAAGATTGGCATATTATTATGATATGCAGTTTGAATTTGGTATAATATTAATAATTATATAGTTGTATGATATGTAGTGTTAAGTTGTTTTATAAAATAATTATAATTTGTTATTTTAGATGATATCTATTCAAAAGCTATAGAAAATGAGTTCAAGGAATTATTGCGGAAGAAGAGTGAAGTGCAACCTTATGAAGATGAAGGATTTGATTCAGGTATGAAAATTGCTTTCAACCATATTGCATAAGTATTTTAAATTAAATATTTAATTTTTTATTTAGATCCAGAACCACTCGAATATGAGTTACCAACATCATGTGTAACACCAAAGTCAGATGATGATGAGTGGAAGGATAGTTTAACACTCGATTTACCAGAATTATCAGATGATGACTTATTCTAATTTACTACCATAATCCCTATTAGTCTATAACGTTCTTTATTACAAAATATACGTTAAAAATATATAATTATATTAGGAATTTAATGAAAAATATTTATTTTTGTACGTAATTAATTTATCTTTATAAACATTAATAAATTATGCGTGAAGTATTTTTACATTAACTTCACAGTCACTGTCTTTTTACTAAATATACTAATCTTTAGAGTGTTTCTAACTTCATTAAACATATGTCATTTGTTAAATGCAAGATGTCAACGGAAAGATGTGTAATTGTGATAGCAGGTGTCTTACAAGACCAAAGCTTTAGTCACGTGTGTTTTATAGCCGAAAATTTATCCACGCTACTACCAAATTTCAATTATAAAATTATTTGTAAAAGCTCAACGGAATGGGAAGTAGGTTGATAATTATACTTTATTATAATAGTATCTATTACAGAGTTTATCTTCTAGTCGTGGTTAAAAGAAATTTGCACCTGTTATGGTTGGTGTCACGCTAAATCTCCATTGATATGGAAAGAAATTGGATTAACTCGTACCACTGTTACATATATCGGCGGCGGCTACCAATTTTGGGAATTACTGCATAGTTATTATAACATTAACGTTCATTTAAATAAGGAAGATCTTGATGTCTTACAAGAGGATTTATTATTTGTAAACGAATATAATATATATAAATCTTTCATTTTATACACTTATCCAATTCTTTATTTTACAGATTTATGATGTTGAAAGTAAAAAATGTAAATGTCCAAACATAGTTCAGAAACGTCGTCAAATAATGATAATAGGAGCAGGAAGATCTATGTGTCTAGAACTGGTTCCTCAATTGATAATGACAAAAGAACTGTGGTTAAGTCATGGAGTTGTTATAAACTTATATGATGAGCCAGGATGTTTCTTTAAAGTAAGAAAAATTTTGAAAGACGCTAAAGGACTTAAGGGAGGTTTAGATGCAGTGAAGGTTTTGTATAATATACCCGATGGTTTGCACGACTGTGACATCCTAATTTATTTAGATGTAATATTAAAGTAAGTCGAAGAATTTAGCGATTTATTAAGATTCAAGTCTATTAATTAACATTATAAGAATCATTTAACTTTTCAGAGAAGAGTTTGAAGGAACAGAAAGATGGTTGCAACGTAACTACAAATGCATAAGAGAATTATCCATGCAGATAAACGATTATGCGCCTTCTCACATGAAAATAATTTTTTGTTCAATGGGCCCCATATGTTTCTATGTTAATGTTATGCACAAACTTATCAAAAAATTACCAAAATCAAATATTGTGGCTGTTAGTTCTCACTATGGATTAGAACTGACATACGTGTTTGCACATTCATTAGGTTTTACTCTGAAAAATCTTGGTTGTCCTCCAGTATGGGGATACTTGGGTTAGCTTTGTACATTTACGCAATTAACACATTCACGACGGTTGACGTAAATTTACGTCTCCTCAGATATAATAATTTTCAAACAGATCGTTACAAGATCAATATAATTGCAGGAATTAATCACTTCGTGGATATCCATCATACCATTCAGAAATATGACTATTATTTACCTAATAAAAAAGCTCTAGAGTTAAGTGATACTGCAACACTACCAGTTGGCGTACAACGTTCACAGTTGAGATGGCTTTTTTATATGACGCATGATAAAACAGATCCGTATAAAGAGCTTTTTATTCGTAAGGTATACATGCATCATCTTTTGCTGTAAAATGTATATAGTAGGATAAAAGTTTCTGCATTTGCTTTTATAGTCTCTCGCTCAATATCAAGTGGGTAGATCTGACGATTTTCAAAAATGTCGAGCAGTATGTGATCTTCTGAGATTATGGTACAGCAAAGAAATAGGCGATGAAATTATATCATTAGGAATTTCTTCTGATGGTAAATATGGAAAAAATAGTAATGCAAGGAAAGATATACTTTAGTATAAGTCCTTTCTGCATTACAGGTTCATTTGGTATTCCAGAAGAATTAGTATTTTCGCAACCAGTACATTTGAAAGTTTTAGAAGATCAGTCACGAATATGGGTACCTTTTAAGGATTTTCCAATGCCAAACATGCCACTTAATTTATTTCAAAATCTTGTAGACACTGCTGTTATTATCAAAGAACAAATACCAACATTTGAAAAGAGAATGAAAGATTTCGATTCCAAAAAACGTTAAAACAGTAAAGTCTCAGAAATAATCTAAAAATTCAAATTTCATGTATATGTATTTACTAACAAGTTCTATGCTGTTTCTTCGTTATTTTGAAATAAATGAATTAATTACAATAAAATTGCGCGTTTGTACCGAATGGATAAAAAAAAAGAACAGTGACAAGACTTCTTAAAATAAATTTATTATCTAGTAAATACACATGAATAAATTAGCTAAGAAATGTTACTATTAATTGCTTGAAAAAAAATCATTACACTTTACCATGATAATCCTTCAAAAACATAATTAATTACGAGAATAATACTTTTTACGATACATAATAATGTATTCGAATTTAATGTTACAATTTGTTTTCTTGTATACACAAAATGATATAACAAAGTATTATTACGTGCTTAAATGTATCATTAACAATTGGTAATCCATACCATCCTTCACTTAAGCGCAGATTCTTTGTACAGAATTTTGTGTCACGGTGGTAGACAAATGGATAAACAATGCGTTTCATATTGTTGCATTATTTTATCACTACTATTCAAAATGTAATTACGAAACAGTCAGCAATATCTATTAAATTAATATACACTTGTTCATATATTGCAAAAAAAAATGCATCAATAATTAAAATCTAATCAAATTTCATACTTTTTTCATAGTTGTAAGACTGGCAGTATATTCAAAATTTTCACTTAAGAAAAAGTGATAAAATGAAAATTGAAGAGTTGAGTTTCTAAAAATGTTTCGCTTAGGAAAATTATAAAAGGAAATCCGTTATGAAATAATTCTCACGTAATTTTGGTTTGACTGTATAGATTAATAATAAAAAACATAGGTGGAAAATTTCACAATCACTTTGTTCTTGGAACTGACGACATTCAATTCATGCGAGTAAAAACAGGTGTTTAGATTGCACGCCGTTACAATAGGTATAGTAAAAACTGTATTCTAACACAAAAATCTCTGACAATTTGAAAATTATGCTACAAAATTGATAGATGGGATATATGAAAAATTTCTTAGGCAGTTTTTGCTCGAATAGCAGCACGTTTTCCTGTAACAGCCTGAAAAGAGTAACATGTTGATAAAATAATTCTGTAACATTAAGACTTAAATGTTCACAATGTTCGGGAATACTTACCTGAAAGCCAGATTTTATGCTAGCTACTGAACATCTTGAGCCACAGGTTTCGCACTGTAAGAAAAATAGTCGAGTGTCCTTTTGAAGAATGGTGTCTGGTGAGCGACATGTGTGACAGGTAACATATTCCTTAATATATCTCCTAAGAACATTTTCTATTTGTTTCTGTTGGAAACGACCTTTAATAATAAGTTGACTATTTCCATCAACAGAACCACTGGTTCCTAACTCAGCGAGTAGAAAGTCAAGTAAATGTTTTGGTTGCCTATGAAGTGTTTTACATATCTGTAACAAAAAAAAGTTATCATGAAAGATAGAAGCAAAAAATTTTGGATTTAGGACATATAAAGTGTTAATGTGGTACTCACTTCTGTGAAATTAGCAAAAGATGTTTTCTTGGTACCTATACGTACTACTTGAGGAGGACGCATAACAAATTTCTGTTTCTTTCCAGCAACCATATCAGGATTCTTTTCCCTCATTATGTTGAATACTCTTACCAACAATTCATCATATGTATAGTCTCTGTCCGATCCGAACCATAAACTTGTTTCCTCTAAGAGGAAAAATAAGATTCACTTAATAGATTAACAAGAAGATAAAACCAACAGAAAATTTATAACAGTAATAATAGTGTATAGTTTGAAAAAGAACAAAAACCAGAAATAATTTTACTTGTAAAGCATTCTACACATATTATTTCTATGGTGTAGAAAAATGTATCTAAGTGAAATCATTGAATGCACTATTAATATCAAAAAACAAGTGGGTCTTCTGATGGGTACTCTGTAATGTGCATTTATATGTATGTATGTATGTATGTGTATATATATACATATATCATTATATATGTATCATTCATTCTTTAACCCCTTATCAGTGCTAATCGCCATATGATACATTCGCAAAAATTTCTATATAAGTATTTGTTTATTATTTCCTTTTTTTATATTCATTCAAATTCCATGGTTAATGTATCTTAATCTTGTATGTATTCATCAAGAGAATGAAACTCATGAAAATGCAAAAATGATACATGGATATAAGACTAATGAACAATACATATAGAAATAGCTGCAAATAGATCCCTTACCATGCTCTGCATTTCGCTCAGATTCAATGCAGCATGTTAACAAATAATGAGTAACATAAAATAATGAGTTACCCGCAGTTACAACATAATTTCAATATATAATATTTACCATTTTCTTTATCTTCAATTTCTTTACGCTCTTCCTCTGCCACTAACTCATCTAAATCTTTCTTTTTCTTTTTCTTCTTTTTAGTTTTAGAGAAGTCCATATCCAGGTCGAAAGTGTTGTCCACAGCAACTTCCTCTGCTTGTGGTTCAATAACATCCTTTTCAAGTTGTAACACAAAATTAATAATATCAGTTCTTAATTATTATATTTTTAAAATTGCTTTGCAAATGACATTTTACCTCCTTCTTTGTATCCGGTAAAGCTGCATCCAGTTCGTCTAAATTAAATGCTTTTTTCTTCTTCTTTTTCTTTCTTCCAAAATTTTCTAAGTCCAAAGGATCATCGTCCTCTGCAGGTGCAGGAGGCTCTGGTTCCTGGTTTTCTTTGTCACCGGTAGTTTCCATTGTGTCCCCACTATTACCAACTTCATTAAATGCAGCGACAAGATCAAAAGTAGTTTTCTTTTTCTTCTTCTTCTTTTTTAAAGTAGGATCGAATACCTAAGAATTATCATTCAATAATTTATTATTTCACATATTGTACGGAAAGTAACGTTTCTCTAATAAATTAACCAATTCAATGCTAGGCATTAAATGAATCAGGTATAATTACTTCGATTATACTCAGTTGAACAGTTTTCATTAACTGTACTATAAGCATGAATATGTTTTAATTTTAATATATTTAATACATTAACTTCACTCCAAATTATTTCTTTCAATGGAATACGCATAAAACATCGCAACATAATACGAGAAAATGTTATATTTCAATACAAAGTAACGATAAGACATTATAGTGTTACAGTCGAAAAGTATTGCACCAAACATAAACCTATGTTCTCTTTAATGCTCTCCACATGGCTTTGAGGTTGGGAATGAAAAAGCCGCAGCATATTTATTTGAAGGCAATATTAATAAAAGATACTCTTTTTAAGTGAGTAAGTGTTTTATTCTATCTTCGGTGGGTCACTGGGTATTGTCAAAAAATCGAAAAGTATGTCAAGATGACCACGCTCCCATGCTTTTCCAATATCGACACACATATCTCCCGTAGTACATATTGAAATATTTGTACGCACCGAATCTTCTTCCGTCATTTTGTATATTGCTTTAAATAGTTTTGCGTCTTCGATAAACTAATCAATTTGTTGACTTTCCTAAACGCGATTGGGAATCTTCATTGCACGGGTTCTAGCTCTTCTAATCTGTACCACCTATATACCACACATAACGTCTTGTTAACGAATATTGCATCAGAAATTCGACTTTTAAGTCTAAAGCGTGATACACACTCAATCCTGTCATCTCATTGAGTTCCACGTCAAGCATTTTTATTGGCCAATTCCATAAGACTCATCGATGGGAGCATAAGCATTTAAATTTATAATATTCGATTTTCATTAATGTTGCAAATATTTATAGAGTCTTTGGAATTCTAAATATTTATAGAATTTTTATTATACAATTACATTAATTTTGTCCACGCCACTTTTCAAAGTCGTGTATAGCAATTCACTGATACCTATGAACGCGCATCATTTGTCGCAAATTCAACAAATTTTCAACAACCGAATATTATTTCTATTACTCTGAAAATATTCATATTTTATTATTTAATATATTATTGTAATATAAAACTGCATATTTCGGTATATGCATTTTGTTATTAAGCCTGAAGCAAAATCTAACAATGGCGGAACTTTTGATCACGTGTCAACTTTAGTTCATTTCGTATCGTACTGAATGCAGTGTGAAATTTGTTTTTTTTTCTTCATAAATTAATAATTACTTAGAACAAAATTTCACGATCTTAAACAGTGAAGATTCACTTATTCCGAAGGGTAGCTGATCTTTCTTGAAAAAGTCACGTGGCTTTGTTGTGGTTTGCTGTTATCTTGACAGATAACAGCGTGTACCAAATTTCAGGAATATAGGTTATGAATCGATTGAAAAATCTCTTGTAATTTATTACTGCTATAATGGTTTCAAGCTAAGTACAGCACTCAAGTGTATCAACTACGTTATTTACTTCAATTTAAAAAAAAAACTTCAGAATATTAATATTCCTACTTTACCGACCGAGTAAAACACTATAGACTCTCGGATCACTAGCGCCGTCGCTAAACGACCAACTTTTACTGGGGCAGTTACATGTCTATAATTAATTATCTATGGACTCGATTGTTAATGTGCTCGAAGCAGACATTAATATGATACATGCAAGATGCTGTGGATGTGAAAGATCAGTTGTGTACCAAGTAAGTGTTTTTATACTAACGAGGAAGTGTTGCAAAAAGTGTCCTGCAAACGATGAATAGACGAAGTGACGCGCGGTGGGAATCGTCGTCGCGTGCTTTGTTAAAAAGTGTGGATGTCAGCCGCCTAAATAAGAAAAAGTACATATTAAATCATAATAGAATCATTCTAATATTATTTATTCGTAATCCACGTGGTTTATACGGTACGAGTCGATTAAACACTCGACTAGATTGTTTTCAATGAAACGAAGAAATGACACAAATCACGAGGCAATGCTGCATTGCGAAAAATTCGTTCGGTGCGAACCGGTTGCAATTGGTACCAGTTTTATCGATGCTGCTTAAAAACGGTGATCCGGAAATTACTTCCTCGATCGACGGATGATCGGTCTCTGAAATATCAGTAAATTCGACGCATTTTTACGGGCAGAACGCCGATAAGTATATCATTTTCATCGAATGCATAGATATGTTTCCTGGACTTTCATATGACAACACTGACTTCGGTATTTATTTTGAAATACACACTACAAGCATTAACAAACGCCCTTGAACTGTATCACATAACTTTTCCTCTATTGATCGTTTGCGTGTGTGTAAAATGTGAATTGTGGGCAGAGAAGTGATTGACAAATTCAGCCGATGTCACGGTATACAACATTTTTTTAATTATTTCGAAAATTACATGAACTTTGTCGAATTACAGTTTGCACGTAGTATAGTGCTCGATAGCCTCCAGATAAATCGTAGAAAAATATACGCGCGTGTACCATCTTTTATCGAAGTGCTATATCTCGCTCGCAATTTTACGTTCACGCGATAATAATGCACACCTACGCGCATAATCGATAGGCAACGTAACGGTCCTTTTCAAAATTCATGCATCGCACCGGCACGTTTTCCATATATTTTTCAACTGTACGAATCAATGCAAACGTGTCATTCGCCAGTGCAAATCACGAGGAACTTTACATGAATTTTCAATTATAAATTAAAATTAAATCGTACTTATAAATAATGCATAGTGTATGCAACACTGAAAAAAGTTGAAATAAAAATATTGAATTTGACACGTTCACCAGGGAACAGTAATAAACTAGATTTAATGCTGACATTAAGAATTAGGATTGCCTTGCAATGAAATTGTAATTAAAATAAATGTTAATTCATTATATGGTACCAAAGTTCGACGTTAAAAAACGGTTTGTTTTTACAATCGAACGAACAAGAGACTTTCCTCGCAGATTAGATAATTTCGAGGAAAAATGATCTTTGTTTACGCACTCTCCATTTAGTTTGACGAAACTGGATTTTTTCATGGAAACACTCCCTCCGGTCGGTAAAGGGGGCGTATGGTGATCGCGATAGATTACGAACCACTGTATCTGCTCGCGCTTGCTTTGTCGTTGCATACATGACGGCATGCGGTAATAAATGTTTATCTCGTTTTTATGACGCCCGTAAGAACCCGGACGATCAGGGAAGATACTTCAGTCAACTTGTTCTCGCTTGATCAGATGTACGCGACAGAATCGACTCGTTGATTAGGATCATCCCAGGAATCATTCGAGTGTAATCGCTCATCTGATCTCGGTGAAAATAAAGACGGAAACTTTGATGTCAAAATCTGTATAAAAATATAGATTCCCATTTTTCTACCGGTCCCGCGGTTATCGTTACAGTGAATTGTTTTTTAATTGTTTCAAAATTACAAATCCGAGTAACCAAATTTTAGTGACATTGTAATTTACTACTATTCTATGGTGTAATGACTAGCGGCTGCACTTGGAAGTAAGTTTGAATATTTGAATATGTAATCGATGTTCATCTTTTTTTAGTTCATGATTATTCGAAACTTATCCGTAATTCAACATTAAAATATTATTTTATATGAACTATATGGCATGTGATATTTTATGTAGCATTTCAAATTTTTTATTTGGAACTTTGTCTATACGATATATATTTAGGCTGAATAAATATAGACAATTTCGTGTCTGCTGTACAGACAATGATTTAATAATGAATTTAATTGAATTTTTATATTTTCGCCAGTACAGCGAAGAAATAAGTAGTTTAGTATAATATTTTTCCCATGTTTTGAAAGGTCATTAATTTCATCGATGACAGTATAATTGTTAATCTCATCGGCCTTGCGTCACCACTACATCATTTTCAGAATAATTTAAACATGATGTCATCCTATTTTCGATAATTCGATATTACGATCGGTTTTCCAAAAAAGACTCGAGGTACACGAATAATCACAATAGATATCGATCCTACTCGATTACAATTAAAACGATTACAATCAGTGTCATATAAATATCTTTTAGGTCTATCAAATTCAAAATCAAAATTTGTTTAATATATTCCACTTAACACATTCCACATCAGTCCCACTCGGGATATTCAAATCTAAAAAGAGATTTACAAATTTACATATCCAAAAGAAAACGAAAAACCACATTCCACATTCTTTTTGATAAGTCAAATATTTTAATTCCATAGATGTTCAAACATCAACACAATCACCGATAAAAGCGTGAACGATAAAATTGAAATAGCTCAGGCCATAAAATGTCCCAATTTAAATCCACCTTTTTCCAATTGCAATATATTTTGTTTAAATATATAAATAAAATACTTCGATCCGATAGATGTCCAAAACCGTATCAACACAATATCATAACATCAAAGCGCAAATAATAAAATTGAAATAGCTCAGACCATAAAGTGTCCCAATATAGACCGGCGTTTTTCTAATTGTAATGACACATTCATGGAATTGCCAGCAATATGGCTGCCAGAGGGGGAAGTTCGGCGTCTTGCGAGGATGGCCTTGAAGTCTCCGACGATGAGAAGAAGCCTGCAGGACATAGAGCGAAAGACGCAGGGCAGAGGCCGACCTGCAAGCTCGACGCCAACGACCGGTTGAACTTGAAGGACATCTTGTCGTCCTTCAATGGGCCGGTCAGCCAAGAACAAGCATGGGCCTTGTGTTATCAGACGGCGAAGAGTTTGTCACGTTTGCCGGACAAGAATTTCTACGAGATCACGGAACTGTCGCAGCTCGTCCTTCACAAGGATGGAGACGTATGGCTCGGCGATCTAATCGGTAAGATTACTCGATGCTTATCGCTCTAGCAACATTTTCTCCACTCTACCGTCCGTTATCAGTATGCCAGTTGTTGCGTGCTTAATAAAAACAAACACTGAACAATGGCATCGCATACAAATAAATAAATTAGAAAAATACAGATTTATCTATACTGTATTGTTGAAAGTCAGGGTATACGTTTTATTTATCTTATTTGTGTCGTAGTCACGTGGTATAGTTCTTGTAACGTTTCACTGCAATTGTGTTTTTTAATTAATATCACGTGACACGGTAATGTTGTTGAGATACAGTTTGTAATCATAGTTTAGTTCGAGTATAGTGATAATGGAATGTAGGCTGCGAATGCTTAGGTATAGTGTAATTAGGCCACTATATTTTCTGTATAGTCACTATACTATTTTTGCTGTATAGTCACTATACTATATTTGCTGTATGGTCACTATACTATTTTTGCTGTATGGTCACTATACTATATTTGCTGTATAGTCACTATACTATATTTGCTGTATAGTCACTATACTAGAGTTAAAATATAGTTGAAAAACATTATATTGTTGGAAATAATGTTTACAGTAACTAGTAGTTAGATTAGTATACTTTTTAATTACCTGTAATTAACTATAAATGTCGAACTTCATACGTAATAGTGTTAATTGCATATTTATTGCAATGTTGAATGATTTTTTGTCAAATGTGACATAGTTACCCAAACACTTTTTATAGCATCGTGACTCAAGCCACGTTCCTTGAATCTTGAACGCTTCATTACTGATACAGATTAATTGTTCGGGTGACAAGGATTTTTGATAAGACTATTAATAAGACTATTGACGACGATTTGTATTAATTCGAGGAATAACTGAAACGTCGTCGA